TTTATTGTTTCACAAAATGAATGAAAAGAAATTGTCAGGAATCCAACTCTTAATAAAACTTCACAGAAGAGGAGGAGCATGTGAGTGACTACACTCCCAAATAGTTTATTTTGTAATTGTATAACTGAGAGAAATCTGTTCTTGTAATGGGAGACTATTGGTTTTTCCAGTTATAAATTAATTTACAAAGAATAGCAGTAACTCACTGTGATGGTGTCCAAGACCTACTCAGGAAACTTTCCCCTCTGCCTAATCAAAAGAAGTTGGTAATAATTGGTAATAAGGTGGACACTTTGTCCCTGAGACGGCCACATTTGTACCAGGAAAAGGAAACGTTTGGAACAAAATTACTGTGAAAGAGATTTTGAAATTGGACCTTGTCACTAGGGGGCACTTAGGGATATAAAATCAGCGTTGCCAAAAGTACTTTCTGAAATAGAACAATCACTGACATATGTCTTTTCAGGGGAGGAAAAAATATCTGATTATGGACATAAGAATTCAGGACATCTTCTGATGGACTATTTTTAGATGCCAAGTTGGTTAGAGAAAGAGCATTTAAAGGGAGCACCGTTTTGAAGTCGGAAGTCCTATCTTCTCTCTCCTTCTGTCTTTCACCACTGGAAGTAGACTGTGATGTTAAGGAAAAAAATAATAATAAAAAAGAAAGAACAGTGGGAACAAAAACCTTCGGCTTGCTCGGTCCCTTTCATTGCTTCCTCCTGGTCTCTTTCTCACTGTCCTTGGACCTTCCTTTCATCTTTCCATGAGAACATTCGTGCTCCCCTCTCTGTTGCTCACAGTTATTTGGTCTTCATTTTTACAGGCCTCTTTCATTTCATTTTTCATCCCATTATGCCTAGCTTTGTTCTTCCGCTTTATTGTTGTTCATTGGTTTCATTAGCTGTGAGATTGAGTTCTCCTTTGGTTTTTATTCCTATCTTGTAGGGTTGTATTTTTTTTCTTCTTTTCAGACACTTGCATCCCTATTTCCTTAAGAAATCAATAAAGTATGTTTCCAGGATCTGTTTTACTTAAACCTGATGGTAATAGACAACATGTTATCTGAAGCCAGAAGAGAATAGTTTCTCACTCTGATCAAGTAAATGGGGAGAAAAATAGGAGCTAAAAAACACATTCTTACATTATAGTCTCCTGCAGGACACAAACAAGCAGAAAAACCTGTTTCATGGCGTGTATACAAGAGTAAAACCACAGATTGAAAAGTGAAAGGTGTGGCCAAAAAAAGCTTGTTTTTGTCCACATGACACCAAACAACCAGTTTAATTTGATTTTTTTTTTCCAAATCCACCGTTTCTTTTGGTTATCATGTGAAGAGGCTGTAAACTACATAAAATCATCAAGCGCTGTATTTAGGGATATCAGATATCTCAACAACATCTTAGAGCAAAGATGGGAGACCTTCAGTTGCCCTATTCCTTAATGCAAAGGGAAAAAAAATCTTCCTATATTATGCACCCTGTCTGCGGAAATTACCCTGCAGTTATAATTAAGAAAATAATTGCAAGCACAATTTATGAGGTCCATGCCCATCATTTCATCCTGTAAATTGAAATACTTCACCCACCGACCTAGTTTGTGAGCTTTGGGCTAACCTCCCATGAGTGGTAGATCTGGGTCTTGAATAATGAAATGATGATCTGGGACTGCGAATCCTGAATTTGCTTCCTTGTTCCCCTGACTCACCATGTGGTCATGGGAAAGTCTACATAACATCAGTTTTTCTGGTAGGAAAATGATTAGTATAATTGTTATGTAGAGTACTTAGCGCTTTGATTTCAATAAGCCACTCTTAGCGCCCAATTTTGCCCTCAACCTTTAAAGAAACTTTTTATTCACACAAACAACTAATGTTACTTCAGATGCCAGTTTTCACAAAATTATTATTTCAAAATTATTTTTAGGCTACGCTAATTTTTCTACTTATTTAAAGCTGAATCAAATCATAAGATGTCCTTCCAGTTAGTCCATCCACATAGTTGAATTATAATAAATGAATTAATTTTAGTTTTAGTTTTTTGCCTGAGTAGAAGATTTTTATTTGTCTACATTTTTGCCATGTGACTTCTCCTTCCACCTGGCACTACTCCAATGACCTAACCTCACATTTGATAAATTTATTTACACAGTCATTAATATTGTGTAATTCCTTAATGCCTCTGCTAGGTAGATAAAACGTTTGCTTTTCTTACACACTGTAGTACATTGCATTTCTATATCGCATCCACTTCCTGGCTTCTAGGAATACAAAGATGGTGCATGAGTGCAAAAAGCTCAGTTTTTGTAGCAGGAGCCTATAAGCAGACTATCCTAATGCAAGACACTGTAACGTGCGATAATATATGCGACAACAGCAGGATAACACTTTATTGAACAGAGCAGTGATTTTATCAGGGGCCAGATGCCCTCCTAGGAAGAATTTTTGGAAATTTGTGAGGACAGTTTTTCGTTATCACAAAAATTGACGGTCACTGGCCTTTAGTGGCTGGGAGCCAACACTGTTGGACATCCTTCAACGCACAGGTCAGTTCTGCCCACCAAAGAACCGACCTCAGTGGCACATGGCTTTCTAAAATCCTAGTGGACATTCTTGCAAATCATGTTTATAATTCGGTGGTCCTAGACCTTCACTCTATTTGAGATATAAACGCAAAGAAATTGTTGCTATTAGGGAAGCTAGATACACTAAATTTTCCAGAAAGTAATTTCCCTGTAAACCAAGGAAAAACCCTCTGTTATTTTGTTCACGAATTGACCAAGAATTATTTCTTTGAAAAATTATGTCCCCAGATGCTGCTTTGGGCATTTGGAACACGAGTACACAGTCTGTATCGATCTGGGATGGTTGCTGGCACAGTCAGCGTTCTAGGAGTAAGTTCAGGCTTCTTCTACTTTGTTAATGCCTTTTGTGGTCTTACCTAGGAACTTCCATATTGAAGTTCGTATTGTTGTATTATAAATATTTACCCTTTAGTCCTCCTTTATTATAATTAGAACATTTAATTGACTTTTTAAAATCACGTGTGCATGTAAGTTTTAACATCTATGCATTTTGTTTCAAGATGGCTGAATCGGTTAGCTATTGCTGCATAATAAACCACTCCCAAAACTTCATAGCTTCAAACAGCGACCGTTTATTTAACTCACAGTTCTGTCGGTTGGTAATTGAGGCTTCCTCATGATTCTGCAGACATGTGCAGGGGTCAGTTAGTCGGCTCTGCTAAGGTGGACCAGACCTTCTCGCATCTCTAGGACCTCAGCTGGGACAACCAGGCTGCCTCGGTTCTACTCCTTGTCTCTCACCCTCCAGCAGGATAGCCTAGACTTGGTCACGTGGCAGAGGCAGGGGACTCAATCATGCAAACCTAGACTCAAAACTGTCACGCCAGACTTCTCTGGTATTCCATTTACCAAAACAAGTCACAGAGACTCCCAGATTCAAAGGATGGGAAAAGAAACTCCATCTTTTGGGAGGAGCTGCAAAGTCATATTACAAGGGGGTATGAGTACAGGAAAGGGAATTACAAACAGCTGGCCACAAACATTTGTTATAAGACAGGTCTAATTGATGGGTCTAAGAGCCACTACTATAGTCAAAGCAGACGCGAGGAAACAGTACAATCGTATTTGCACTTAGATCATCATCCAGCAGTCTAGAGAAGGTGGATTGCAAGGATACGGGCATGGAATAAAGGAAGTAGCACGGCTGTTGCAGGCTTCCAAGTGAGGGACCGGTTTTTTAAAAATTAAGATTGATGCAGGCCCCCAGGCAGGGTTCTGCAGTTTGTGCACTTCAGGGTGAACAGGAACTGAAAGCTCAGCTACGTTGTTTCATAAGCTGTGGGCCCTGGCCCAGGGCTGAATTAGCTAAAAGGAAAGGGCACCTTTTCCTAATTCATCCACTCAAATCATGTGCCTTTTCTTTACTTCACCAGCCTCAAGGGGGAACATTTTTAAAAATGTGTCTTTCCACGGGAGCAGCATTTTGTAATTGGCACAAAGGGTCTATGTATGCTTGGCCTTGAGTCCAGAGACTGGATTACTGTCTCACAATTCCACCCCTTTGCTCACGCTTTTCCTCCTGCTTAGAATGACCTTTCCCCTGTGTGCCTGGCAAACATCTTCTCGTCTTTCAAGAGTGATACTAGGATTACCTGTTCCAGGATTACCTGCTCCATGAGTGTTTCTGATTCCATGCCATTCCCCACCTTGGTAGAAGAGAATGCCACCCACCCCTTGTGTTGATGTTTTACCCAGTACAAACTTCCATCATAAGTAGGTCGTGTCTGAAACGGCATCCTGAATAATCCAGTTCTGTCCTGTCCAAGCTGCTCCTGCCCCTGCCACCCTCCTACCATGCATGTTGAGGTCGCCGAGGAAGGTGTGCACAGCAGACAGAATCAAGCAAAGGTACACTTTTTATTTTTATATTGTTTTTATGCCAAACCCCATAAAGGCTCTGCAAGCCAAAGTCAGAGGCAGGCCAAATGGCCTCCAACCCAGTCAAGCCATGGAACTTCCTTTCCCCTCCCAACTCGTTCCATATCCAAATCTCAGCTTGTCTTAACATTCTAAAAGTGAAAGCGCCCATAGGAAAGCAAGAAAAAATTGTTTGCAAAACAAATTTCCTTATATCTTTCCTGCTAATGCTACACCCAAATAACATTCTTGGGCTGGATGCAGTGTCTCTGCATCCCTCTCCACCAGTGTGAAGCCAGGGTACCGAGGGTGGAGCCTCTCCCAAGGGAATGGAATTCTCTCACTTCCTCCTCTTATTCTATCAAGATTAATGTCCAGTCATGCATCAGTCAGACTATTTATTATCCCCTTCTGAGAAGATCCATGGATTCTTAGAAAACCTCAGCCATTCTTTTCTTAGACTATTTCTCCCACCCATGCCACTGCTCTTATGAATCTAAGAGATAAACACACACACGCACTCACAAACAACAACCAAAAACAATCAAAAGACTTGATTATCTAAAAATTAAAATCTTTTCTAAACCATGCAATGCCTTAGTCATATAAAAAGGCAAATGATAAACTAGGGAAAATAGAATTTACAACACACTTGAGAGAAAGGAGGTTAATAATCTTAGTATAAAGAGCTTTTACACATCAATAAGAGTTAAAAATGAACGCCCTAATACAACTGTGCAAAGGATGTGGGAATAGGCAATGAAAAGAAATGTTGTACACAATTAATCAAAGCAATCCTGGTGTTTGAAATGGGCAATATTAAGTGTTGATACCAAATTTTATATAAAACAGCAAAAATTGCTCAATAACGTGTATGTATAAATGTATAGAATATAGCAATATATAGAATATAATGGAGTACATGTATAAAATCTAACTTCATAGTGATTTGTGATATTATTGTTATTTTGGCAGTGACACATTGTTAAGTTTGATATGTGTATGTTTTCTGTGTCACTCTACTGTATTTAACTGTGGACTTGCTTCCACTGGACCACTGGTGAGTTTTCAAATTTATTCACGGTACCCGCCCCGGTGTCTGGCACAGAGCAGGCATTCAGTGAATTTGTCTCAAGCGATTAGATTCTTGTGAAATATAGTTAGTGCTCTGTTCAATCTTGTCCCATTGAACTAGAGAGGAAAAGTATTTTACTGAATCAAATGCACTTAGTATCCAACTAAATTAATTATGTATTTTGAATTTTTGTTTTAATTTGTCAATAGACTTCCCTAAATATTTACATAACAAAAACTTTGCTACTATTAACTCTGTTATATTTTATAAATTATAATACTTGTAAAATTGTAATACTTGTAAAAACTGAAAGGTAGATCATTTTTATCCCTTTGGTTATGATGTAGAAAGTGAGAGAGAAAAATACAACTTTCTCAAGATATAGAAAATGATATACTATAATGAATCCTTTTACTTTTTCTAACTTCCATGTTTTCTTTATATACACTCTTAAAATTTGTAACACTCTTAAAATTTGTATTCTGTTTAAATTTAAAATTAAATATTGAGTTTGATCTTATAAAACATTTAATTACTTTTGGAAATGCATTTTATGAGACCAGTAAAGTCATTTTCAATGATATGGACTAAAAATCTAATATCGTGCTTGGAACACAATTTTTGAGAACACACTGCATCAGTGGTGGTATTTGCTTTCGAAAATGAATTATTGTGTTATGGGCTAAATCCTGCCAGAACTGATTTTGAAATCCAAAGTGGAATATTTTGGATACTATAGTTTAATATGAACTGAACACGCAAATAGTATTTTTATTTCTAAAAGAAGTAATGACATGGTTTCAATAAATTGTTATATCTATTACCTGCTCTGTGACTCTGAACCATATATCGAGGGCGACATCTGAAGTGTAAGCAAATCCTGTTCTATATAAATGTAGTATAAGCATTTTCAAAGCTTGTTGCACAATCTCATTATCATGATCAGTTATTGCTTTTCTTCCCCAGAGAAGGGTTGTCCATCCTAATTTACTAGTGAAGAACTGATTTTTATTATGTTCTCCCAAGTGAAAAGTAGCTCCAATTCTTTCAAATGGAATGATAGCCAGAATGACTTATGGGGGAGCTGGGGGCAGGGGAACGGCTAGATCCTACAGCTATAGAGAAAAACCCATTGATGCCAAAAATGGTGCAGCTGACTGTCCCCTTAGGGGATGGGCATGGCCTAAAAGGTCCTTCCCATACATTCCCACATGATATTCAATGATTTCCAGCATTTATAGGAAATTCTTTCCGATTTGATATGTATGAAAAAGAAGACTAAGACATAGTAGTCTCTCTGGATTTCTTTAAACTCTCGTTTTCTTATTTTCATCTTTTCTGTTTTTTATTTTCCTTGTCCATTCATTATTTGTCCAATATTTTTTTAATATCTGTTTTGTGTGTGACCCAGTGCCAGGTCCTGAGGTTGCAGAGACAGGAGATTTACTCTCTCAGAAGGGAAGACAGATGTGCAAACCAGTAAGTGAGACCCAAGGGTACGAGTGCCGCAATAAAGCTGTGCGCAGGGTGCCACGAGGGCACAGTGGGGAGGAGGCGAGGTACACTCTGGAGTCTTCCCGCAGCCCAGCCTGGTGCTGCTCTGTGAAAGGAGAGAGGCTGTTCTTCAGATCTGACGTGGGGTTGTGCCCTAAGCCACAACCAGCCAGGACTGCTGCTGCTGCTGCTGATACTGCTGCTCCTGATGACAACAGAATTAAAAAGTTAAAGAACCAGCCATGTCGAATGGGAACTTAAAATAAAAACACATTTACATAATTTCATAATCCAAGGTTGTATTCCATAGTGTAGGACTGTGTGCTTTGTGGGAAAAATTAATGGCAGAAAATATGTATACTGGATCTTTCTAGGCCCTGACCAGAGGCCTGAGGCACACATTTGTAGTAGGCTGGAAAAATGATGGTTGGGCCTTGTTTCCCAGGCCTAGAAGACAGTGCAGGAACATAGTAAAGTGATAATATGCTAATATAAAGGGAAAGTAATTAGCAGTTGGAGATGGCATTGTATGGCTAGAGTACTAGAATGGCTAGTAGGCTACAGGACAGCAGCCATCTCAACCTCTTCCTTGTCAAAAGTTCCCAACTCGATTTGCAGGGACTCTTTTCCATGGAATCATAGCCACTCTAGTGATGCAGATCAATGGGATGATGCCTTTACATGCAGCTTAGCTGGAAACCTTCCATTGTGTAGAGAGATTCTCTCTTATACACTGGTCCCTCCTCTGATTCCATGCCATAGGATCAGTTTAAATGAGATTATGTCATAATGAGCAACCATCCCCTCCCAGATGGTTTAGAAAAATGGATTTCATAATAACTCTTGTGCCTCGTAATAAATAATATTGAAACATTTTGGTTTTATAGCTAAAGACTACTACTAGTTATAGCACTTTCCCTACTTGGGATTTTGTTTGTAGTGGTATTGTAGAGAACTGCTTATTTCAGGGAAATTTCTTCCACCCTTCTGCATGATTGATGACATTTATTGGGCAATGGCCTGAGGTCAGGGGGAGTCCTAAGCATGCTACAACTCATCAATAAAGTCTGCTGCTGTCCCCTTTTAAAGACAAAAAATGAAGCCCACAGATTATACAAGTTGCCCACTTAGCTAACAAGCAGTTGAGCAAAACTGGAACTCAGGTGGTCAGAGGTCAAGACCCACGCAATGACACATGATGCCAAGATATATATAATTCTTATAAAAAGTACTATATATTCTTCTGACAGTTATGGGACATTTGCTTAACGATACAAACAATTATTGTTGACAACAGAAAAATATGGCCCAAATTAACTAATTTTCTACTGTTTTTCTCTGATAAATAGCATTAGGTCAAATTAAGAGATTAGGCATAGTTTATATACTCATATGTACACATAGATATAATATCTGACATCATATTTTACACACGTATGCACACAGGCATGCACTCACACACTACACACTCACATACTACATACTCACATACACACTGTAAAAGAACAAGAGACCATTGGACAGAAATCCAAGGCCATCCTTGAACTTGAGTTGATATTCTTGAGTCTGACTAGGAAATTATTAAGCTGCCAGGCTCTAGTATCATTTTGGGCAGCAATCCTTCCTCCTCCCTTTCAGCCTCTCTGGCCAATGGAGTTTGGTTTTGTCCTATGTAGAGTGATTGCTACCATAACTCTTAACGAATCATTGTAAAAGCATTGGTGAAGAACAGACCTTTTTTCTCCCTCACTTCCTGTGTCTAGAGCCCTCCAATATAAAGCTATGATGCTGGCTAAGAGTCATGATTACAGAGTATAAGTAATAAGAGTGTATGTACAAAGTATGAAAGTGTGGGACTGTGCATGATGAACTCTTTCCCAGAGCTGTCCCCCAGGCCTGCCCACAGACTTCTGCATGGACAGAGTACCACAGGATGCAGTGCTGCACAAAGCATGATGGGACGCAGAGGGTGAGTCAGATCCAGTCTTTGCTGGCAAAATGCGTAAGCAGTGGATAGATAATCTGGCTCTATCCCCAGATGGGCATTGCATATTGACTATATAATTTCTTATTACTAAAACTATTAACAACAAGGTCTTTGATAATTCTTGGATTTTTTAGTTCTCTCTTAAAAGGGAATCTGAAATTTCAACTGAAATAAAGGAAAACCCAACCTAAATTAGATACTTATAGAACTAAAATTAAAAGCAATTAAGATATGCTGTAAACCATTTTCATTTAATAATGGGAAGATAGAGCAAAGAAACTCTCTTTTCTGGTTCCCTGTTGTGTTAAAAACTGTGACATGGACTCATCCTAAATTTTTAATCTCAGTTTAAAGTTGTTAATAAAAATTATCTGAAATAGATTTTTTTAAACACTTACTAAATTTTCACATATCTCTGAGCTCCAGCTTCAGAAGCGAATTTTTGTCTGATATTTGTAGGCTGAATTTGTATTAGTTATCTATTGCTGTGTAACAAATTACCCCAACACTTAGCCGCTGAAAACAACATTTATTATTTCACAGTTTCTGTGGGTCAGGAGTCCAGTCACAGCTTAACTAGAGAGTTTTAGCTTGGAGTTTCCCATAAGGCTACAGTCATCTTAAGTCTTACTACTTCCTAGCTCACTCATGTGAGCAGGCCTCATAAGATCTGCTTCCAAGCTCTGTCACATGGATCTTTCCTCAGGACTGCCTCGTGACATGGCAACAGGCTTCCCCCAGAAGTGAGCAATCCAAGAGAGAGAGCCCAAGATGCAAGCCACAATCTTTTTATAACGTAAAGTTGAAACTGATATCCCAACACTTCTGCCAATACTGTTTCTTAGAAGGGAATCAATAAATCGTGCTCATACTCAAGGGGAAGGGATCACACAAGTGCATGAATACCAGGAGGCGGGGATCATTGAGAACCATTTTAGAGGCTGCCTAATGTGGTTGTGTATCAGAAACTAAACTGAAAGGAATTGGGGAAAAGAACTGGAGAAAAGATACTGAAAATCTCTCTTAACTTTCTGTCTCTCTCTCTCTTTCTTTCACAAACACACACACACAGAGTAAGCATTTGGCTGATCATAGCTGTTAGAAATTAGAATACTTTAGTACTCAGAAGAATTGCAATAAAAAGGCAAAACACTTTCTAGCCTTTTGTTGTTGTTTTGCTTTTAGTAAGCAAACTTTAAACAGATTGTTTATATTATTTTTAAAATGCATGTATTAATATGTAAATATTTTTCTAAAGGCTAGAGTTATGGACTGAATTGTTTCCCCCCCAAAAATTCATATGTTGAAGTCCTAATATCCAGTACTTCAGAAAGGGCCTGTACTTAGAGACAAGGTCTTTAGACAGGCATTTAAGTTAAAATGAGGTCGTTAAGGGAGGCTTTAATCCAATCTGACTGGTGTCCTTTTAAGAAGAGGAAATGTGGACGCAAAGAGAGACACTAGATATGCACGGACATAGAAGAAAGACCACGTGAAGACAAAGGGAGAAGCTGGCCGTCCACAAGCTAGAAAGAGATGCCTCAGAGTGAAATCAACCCTGCCAACACCTTGATCTCAGACTTGTAGCCCCTAGAACTGTGAGAAATGAATTCCTGTTGTTTAAGCCATCCAGTCTGCAATATTTTGCTGTGGCAGCCCTAGAAAACTAGTTCAATTCGTTGTTTTATAACCAAAATCTCTCTGTGTACTCTCCATGTCCCAGTTTCTCATTGGCCTTATATAGAACAAAGTAAAGGTTCTATTTTACTTTGTTTTAGTTACCTCTAGATATAGTTCTAACCGTTATATTTTTAAGATTGTTTGTATTTTTCCAAAGAAACAGATAAATTGAATTTAATCGTTATCTTTCTTTAGTTTTTTTCCTGTTATTCATTTATCATATTTCTTCCTCATTTGTCTTTGCCTCATCTTTACTAAGATAATATTAAACTACCTTTGCAGTGTCTTGATAGCAATACTTGTGGCTTGATAGGAATCTCAGCACTATGGTGATAGCATAAAAAATTCAGAGATGAAGAATATTTCTTGGATCCTTTTGTCATTTTTTATGGGACACCCATTGATAAAATTATACAAACACAATTCATTATCTGCCTTCATTTCTGGACCTAAAAGTTTTGACTTTTCCCGAGAGAATAACACTTAAAGTTTAAATTCTCTTGAATTTCTGTGATTTTTCTATTTCGTGGGATGGACAAATGCTCGGCTTTGGTGTTGAGTGCCAAAGAGTTTTCCAAAGTCATTGTGCACATTACACTCTTCCATTAGTGCTTGAGAGGTCCTATTATTCCATATCCTCACCTACGCTTGCCATTGCTTGTTCATTTTCGCCGTACTGGTGAGTGTGTGTGGCATAGAATTTTCATCTCCCTGATGACCAATTGACATTGAGTAACTTTTCATGGTTTTGGTCATTTGAGAATCCTCCTTTATGAAGTGTCTTTTCAAATTCTACCCCATTTTTCTGAGTGGTTGACTTTATCTTATTGATTTGTAGGAGTTTTTTATATAGTCTTTTGTCGGATACACACATTGCAGGTATCTTATCCTTCTTGGTGGATTTTATTTTTATTATATTAATGTTGTCATTGAGTAGTCAGAGTTTCTTAATTTTAATGTAGCCAAGTTTACCAATTTTTTCTTTTTTGGTTAGTTCTTTTGTACCCTATTTAAGAAAGTATTGCTTATTCCAAGTTCATGAAGATATTACCCAATGTTTTGTTCTAAAAGCTTTATTGTTTACCATTCTCAGTTAATTCTACAACCCATCTGGAAGTAATCTTTGTTTGTGGTGTGAAGCAGGGGTCAAGATAGGAGTAACCAATTGCCATAGCATAATTAATTGAAAAGACCATCCTTTCTGAGCCAGCGCTTTTTGATCATTGGTTATGCTACAGGCACTGTGCAAGTTGATACTTCATTTTATCCTCACAAAATCCCTATAAGATAGGTGTTTCCTCACTTCATAAATGAGAACTTATAATTAGATGAGTTAAATTAATTTCCCAAGTATTCATGGCTAGTAAATTTTGTGAATCTGGGTTTTCAGCTTAGGGCTTTTGCAAAGCCTTCCTTAAAGTAATCGTAAGTCAGTGTCATCCAAAGGTATAATTACATTTTGTTAGTAAAAATCAAGATAGTGAAGGGGTTAGAAACCACTGGGAATGTGAAGGTGAAGAAGAGTTGACCCTAGAAAA